CATACAATTCGAACATCACATTTTTCTTAAAAGCATTATTACTTTCACGTCCTTTAGTGTTTGGCACAAACTAGAGTAACAGAAAATTGCCAGCTATGAATATGATGCAACGAGGGTACTATCTAATTGTTGTTGTATCCAATATTCATTTGATGAGTGGGTTACCTGATATTATTCATGTACAAGTGAGTCCATGTGAAACTGTCATTTCATACTCCTTTCAAATCATGTTTAGATACTTTTATGTAAGCTCTTATACCCACATTTATGCAACTTATATTACTTGTACAACGAGGAAATTTACAATATTTGCAAAACGTGACAAGGACTTGATAGGCTCCACTTAAGCAAGGGTCAAATGCATTAATGTCATGTAGTTGAGAAACAGAGCCCATCTGACCAGAAACGTGGCTTTTTTTAAGCTGATGTTAATGCTGGAAAAGATAATGATACAATTTTTTATGGAACCAGACCAGTCCAATGATCCATTTGAGTTCTTGGTTCAAAATAATTTTTATAATCAAAATTTCCAAGCAACCATCATCCTTGTGTTGCGTAGTTTCATAAACTGTAGCTCCTTTCATACTTAATGACCTTCATCTGAAAATTAAGAAAAAACTATCATCCTTAATTTCTAACAAAATATTTGATCATATACCATAAAATTCAATCAATTTAGATTGACGTGAGTGATGATAGGATTTACATCATTTAATCATGTAGTTAAAGATTAAATTCTTACACTCGTAAACGTAAAAAACTTAAATTGCAAAAGAATATCTATTTATTTATATAGTGTCTGTGAAATTCTGAGAGAGATTGTCTATTCTTTGATAATGAACTAAAAAAAATATACTCCATAACATTCGATTACCCTACAAACATAATTGAGAAGCCTAAAAGCAGCAGAGGTTTTGTGATGAACCTGAAATAGATATAAGTTGAAAATTTACGGTAAAAGAAATTAAAGCTAAAGAGATATCTAACCAGTAGAGCCAGAAGAAAGTAATGGTTCTATAATTCTATAACTGCCTTAATTACTCATACACAAGTAGACTGTGGCTATGCTCAGCACAGTAATCAAACTCAAGCCTTGCAATATTTGCATGCTGCTATTTGAGATGCCGAACACCAATCGAAGAAACAGTTCATGACTCTACCCCATGGAAGCAGTAGCACCCAGTTTCCACACTACCAAGCCATCTCAAGCAAGGAAAATAATGAAAATGTTTTGCAAAGAGCCTCAAAATTCATAAAGTATTATAGTTATCGCAATAAAATAAGAACCAAACCAATATCTATGGTGCACATACCCAGGAGGGCACAACTTTATTTTTTAATTTTCAAACAAGTTTTTTTCCATAAAAAAAAAAATTTGAACCTAAAATCTTATGGTTTACTCAAATTTCCCTTTAAACAATTTGAAAAACACACTAACACCAATTGACATAAGAGGCTGCAGCTTTTATTTCGTTACCAAATTTTCCAATGTGTGAATTGTCACATATATAATAGATTATATTGGGAGATTATGTAAAAAGAATAACTCTTTATCTCCGTTTTTAATTGTTTTCTATTTCTTAATCACTAATTTCAGTCTTACTTACCTTTTGAACCGTTCATTTTCGCTTTTTTTTTAAAATAATTTTTCTGGTAATTCATTTTCGTTGTAGTTGCTGACGTTCTAAACTGTTTCCTACTAGTTTTTCTTTAGACAAAAGTAATGAGAATTTCCTAATAAAATTAAATGTGAAATTAGGATTTGTTAAAGCCTTAGATCTAGTGGACTGTGGACCAAATGTTGGGACAGTTTATTATGGACCAAGAATTGTTTGGTTAGTGTCTGTTGGAAGCCTAAAAGATAACCATAACATCCCCAACCCCACCCGGTCCAGAGGCCCAGTAGCCTTTGAGTTTATTTTTTCTGAATTTTTTAAGTCTTTAAATTTTATTAAATTAGTACTCGATATTCCCTAATTTACCCTCAAATGAATCCTGTCCTAAAAACCATTGAATTTTAAACTTATTAAAAAATATATATTTTTAGAAAATTTGGGATTGTTTTGACTAGCTAGTAATTTATAATTTAGATTAAGTTGTAATTTATGACGAGATTTAATACTTTGAAAAATATTTTTTAATGAATCTATTCTACATATATCTGAATTTTCATTTAATAAGTTTTTTTTCTTAAAAAATGATTCAGCAACCTCGAGAAAATTATTGTATTAATAATTCAAGACTCTGCTCTTATTTTTATTAATGAAATTATGTTTGTTTGTTGACAAAAAATTAAACTCTTGTCCCTTAAAAAAATTAAAATATGTCAAAAATTGAAATAATCAATTCAATCGGACCACAAAAATATTATATTGGAATGGTTCAAATTTAACATTATTTTTAAACCAATGTAAACCGAATTGCAATTTTTCATTTTATTTTAGGATTAGCCAAACAGTGAGAACTCGAAAATTTACTTAGGATATGCATTAGATTTTCTATTGATTCTTTAAGAATTATTGAAAGTATGTTCCTATAAGAAATTTTAAGAAAGTAATATATCTTTTATGAACTTAAAATGATATGTAATAAAATAATTTGTTGGATAATAAATTTAATTTTTTTAAAAATTTTAATAATTTTTCCAGGTATTTTGATTGACTTAAATTATAAAAATTCAAAATTCACTAAAAAAATTGAAAATTATTTTGATTTAGTATGTTTTTATAACATATATAAAGAAAATATTGGAAACATTCATGGTAATATAAATATAAATTTTTATTATAATTCATAAATACTCTTGGTGACACGCGAAACTGATGATTACAAATTACAATTGTAATATTGGGCTATTAAAAAATAAAAAAATATTTTTTATTGTATGTTATTAAATTGTTTTGAAAAAAGAATACATAATTATGAATGTTTTTATAAACTTGACATATTTTTTCTTTCCATCTTTGTAGTTTACTTTCCCCAGATACCTATATTATGGATTCTAATATTGTCAAAATGTCTGAACTTTGGTAACGTGCCCAACACTTATGATGAAACGTTGCAGTCCCATGTTAAGTCTCATCAACTACTTGCTGACCCACACCCAAAGCTTCTTCACATGTATCATGTATCATGTATCATGTATCTATCTCCCAATTTGAGGGGGGACTATAATTCACTATGGACCTTAGCTTAGCTTCTAATTCGTTGGTTTTTCACCTCACTATTATTTCACATTTTTAACATATAGGGAATTTATATATATATAAATAAAAAAGTCTACCACGTGGGTGGCAGCAATTTAGTATAGAATATACTAAACGTCAATCATGGTTACATCTAAGGGGAATCATTAGTTGAAACACTAAATAGTAAATACAATTACATCATGTTACCTCTAATTAAATTAAGTGTACATATATATATTTATTTTTGTCTCCTTGGTTTAAGTTCTTGGCCTAATCTGCAATAATTTATCCATGTCTCTATAGTGGGGTTCATATTTCATAAGCTAGCTAGCTGATGCAGATGTTTTCATCACCATCGTTTTCTACTGTCACCCTATAAATATAAGGTGGACCAATTTACCTAGTGACAAAACTCAGATCCGCTTTAATTATCAACTACCGTTCACTTTCCATAGCTCACTAATCCCATTAATTTGTGGCATTTTCATGGGCCAACAAATTATTAATTTCTCCAACGCTGATTAATTTGTTTCTTCATGTGGCTTTCGCGGTCCAACGATGAAAATTAAATGGATTGAAACTAAAGTAGTGATAAAAGCAGCCATGCGATTGTGGGGTCCAGCAAGTGTTGTTATCTGAAAGGGTTATACAATTACAACCTAATTACTACTGTACTAGATCGATCTTCCATTTGCAGGGTATCCTATTTGTCCTGTCTAGTAGGAAAAACTTATATCGGAATGCCATGAATTGTTGGAGAAGATTTGAGTAGGTCACGAAATCAAGGGTCCTATGAATCTGCCTCCAATCATTACTGTGGCTCTCCATTCTCATTGGACATGGCATATATGTTAATTGTGATCAGCTCACGTGGGACGGTTGTGAGATTTAGCATCTGCCGCACTCACAATTAACACTTTCTGAGAAAAACGATAAGAGCCTGATCCGCAATTATTCCCTGCAGATCCTTTTGTTTTCTAACTTTTGTATACAAGTTCATGGGACTGACCACAAAAATGACGGTTTCTTGTTTGCATTTTTACTTTTAATTAATTATTTATATATTATCGGTGTAAAATTTTTTTACACAAATAATCAATCAGATATTTTAATAATATCATATCATTTATTTAATATATACATTATCAGTGAACTATATATCTATTATTCGGATACAATGTTATTTGAGTCAATTAGTATTATTAAGTGATAAACCTCTTTCTATATATTTAATATAAAAAATGTTAATGACACTTCTAACACTCTAAATAATCTTTTTTTCTACTATTGATTAAAAATCACAATGTTTTGTAGATTTTACCACTAAATCAGGAGTGAAACAAGATGTGAAATATGCAAAATTTGTATTTATAATATTTTTTATCCAATAATAAAGAAAGTGTTAGGAAGATAGAGTGTCCTTAACATTTTTTACACAATCTAAGTGTAAATCTAAAAGTCAAATTCAAAGTTACTTACTCAAACAATCTTGAATTTTTTTATATCCACTAATTGTATTAATTTATATAATTTAGAGAAGTATCTACTAATTTTCTTGAAAATTAATTTTTATGAAAAAAATTGACCGACTATTTTTAATAAGCTTTACTCTCTCCTAACCATTAAAAAATCCAAGACATAAATTATTGTTTATGAAAATTGAGTTAAATTTCATTTTACCCTTGTTGAATTGAATCATTGATCTATGCGTTCATATATATATATATATATATTTTAATTTGATATTTTGTTTTCTTTTATTGGGTATATTATTTATGAAATGTTCAGTCCTAGTCTGTCGTCCAATTGCTTTCATGAGCATCGGAGAGATCTTACAATAAATGCTAACCATTGACCAATGCAAAGCCTCACTCTTCCTTTTCTAACTACCCTTTACTCTTTTTATGCATCTTCTCTCCTGAGTCCTGAGTCCTGGACCTCTTTAACAACTACTTATCACTACAACACTCACTGCAACTCCAATGGAACAAACTTTTCTTTTTCTCTTTCTCTTTCGCCACATCTCGCCAACACATCAACAATCTTAATTCCTCGTTCCTCTCTTTCTCCAAACCAAGCAACCCACGACTCTGCTCCGCGCCAACAAAATGGGTTGCTGCGTCAGCACCAACAGATCCTATCCTTCACCCTCAAGAAACAAGCTTTGCGACCCACCAAGATCTTCCACCACCAAAGGCTCAGAAAGCAGAGCGCCGCCGCCGGACGAGGAAACGGTGAAGGAAGTCTTGTCTGAGACACCCAAATGGAAGCCCAAATTCGAAGCCGTGAAGCCAACAGAGAGCCAAGTTGAGAAGCCATTCGCCAAACCTGAAGAGATCTCCGAGCTCTCCGAAGTTTGCAGCGTCAGCGAGAGCGTGTCCACGCTCGCCGACGAAGAAGCGCGTCAAAGGGTCAACATTAACAGATCTCCGGCCAAGCTGCGCAAAGCACCCTCTTTTTCCGGCGAGTTCGGTGCCCGGAGAGAAAGGACGGCGGGGAAGTCTCCGGCGAGGCGCCCGGAGCAGTCCCCCGGAAGAAGGAATGTTGGGTCGGCGAGAATTGTTCAAATGGCCAACGGGGGCGCCGGAAACCAGGGTCGCCGGCGAGACGCCGGCGAAAATTCCGGTCGCCGATCCAGGTCGCCGGCCACCCGCACAGACAGCGTGGCTACTAGATCCGTAGTGGGTCGGAGTCCGTCGGCGAGGAGAGCGAACCAATCTCCGGCTAGGGCGAGAACCGCCGCGCCGGAGTGTAGTTGCCGGAAAATTGAGAATTCGAACATGGAGTCGTTAGAAAACCCACTTGTGTCGTTGGAATGCTTCATATTTCTTTAAGGCAAGGGCAATCGTGGTGCCATGCCAATGCCAGCATAAAGTAGGTGAGATTAATGATGTGCTCTCTAGTTACTAGTAAGTCATAGTATTAATTTATGTAGTTTGTTTAATTTTAATTAGTGTATGATGGTACGTGTAAATAGTTGAAGTCAATGGTCAATTTTAGGGGTGGTTGATCCCATATGGCCTTTTGGAGAGTTGAATACGTAAATGGTAATGGTGAAAAAAGAATTGAATTGACCTGCGGGTACATTTTGTTCTTCTACTTCACCCATTTGCAGGTTTGGAAAGATTGCGTCTCTGTACCAAGACAAATCGTTAATCGGCAAATTTCCAACAGCTAGTTTATGATATTAGTACATTCCACTTAAAACACTGCATGCTCTAGTAGTCTTTTTTTTGTTTTTATTTTTTATACATGCTCTTGTTGACTATTTTCTTTAAATATTACAAAATTAAATAAATTTATCTAAATCTCATACTCTAAAGTATATTTATCAAAGTGTTACCTTAATTATTCATGTTGAGGATTTAGTCTCCTATTAACCAATTTCTCACATTATTTTTTTATTTATTTATACATTAAGAAATTGATTAATATATCATTAACCAATTTTTCAACTGCAGTTTTTTATTATTATTATTTTTATAATATATATTTGTATTTGATTTATTAGCTTGAAAAATTAGTTAATATTTTATTTTTATAACTATAGTATGTTTAAATAAAAAGTCTATTTTTAACATTAATAAATTTTGTAATGTGTTTGATAATTTATTAGAAGAAAGTAAAATATTATTTTTAAAAATATTTTTAATATATTATAGTTAGTAAAAACAAGATTTCAAACAACACATGAAATTGTTAAAATTGACTATAAATAAAAATAACATGAAGAACAAAATAAAAAGTATAATAATAGAAATAAAAATTATTATTGTTGATTGAAAATCTCGATACGAAAAGAACATTTTTTCTTAATATGACTTGGATTCCAACACATGGAACATCTTTTCGGTTGATCATGTTCTCTTCTTATATCCATTTTGGTGCATATACATGAGAATTTTTGACAACCCTTTTTATTTTTTTCATGTCTAGATTGGGGTTGATTTGTAATTCATTACATTGCAGTCAATATTGTCATTGCGCAACTCTCCCAACAATCCTTTATACATATTGGAAATGTATTTCAATGTATAAATAGAATGTATGTAAGACGTGTAATCATGGTGAACACTTTTACAAGTAACAATGACATGTGAAAAAAATACGTGTAATTTTTGGAATTTGTTACAATCACGCCACATTTCATCCGGTCTTACCGTAAATTAACCAATTGATCACCTCTTTTTTGGTTTAAGCATCTCTTACACCAAGAAATGCATATTGCATATGTTGAACGTGATTTATTACATTCACTTGCTACTAGGTATGACCTTATTTATGATTTCACTTTATCATTTCTCTACAACAAATAATGATACTAACAATTCCAAAATAACTTATTTTTATTTTGTGAAAGATGGAGTGGAAAAGGGCTAAAATTTATCGGAACTCTCTCTAGCGAAAGGCCGTAACAAAATTCAGTTATTGAAAGGAAACATCAACACATACTGTGACTAAATCATTATTATTTCAATCTTGAGTTCCTATCACCTTTTTGGGAGATTAGATTGCCATTGCAACATTTATCATCAACAAAATTCCGTCAAAAGTATTGAAATACCAATCTACATATGAATTGTTATTAAAAAAGGCTTTTGATTATTCTAATATGAAAGTTTTTGGGTGCTTATACTATGCTTTTACTCTCCAATCTCATAGAGACAAATTTACTGCAAGAATGACTTCATAGTGTTTGTTGGCTATCCAATAAAGTACAAAGGCTACAAACTATATGACTTGAAAACCAGAAAATTCTTCATTTTTAAGGATGTAAAATTTCATGAGAAAAATCCTTAGTTGTAGCAGAGTATAGATTCTTGGCAACATTAGCTAGTGAGTTAACTTGGCTCCACAATTTACTGGTTAATTTGGGTGTCCCTCCACAACCTGTCATGCTTTATTGCAATAATCAAGTGGCCATTTATATTGCTACAAATCCCACTTTTCATGAACACATAAAACATGTTGAAATAGATAGTCACTTTGTGTGTGAGAAACTGAATTTGAGCGTCATCAAATGGGTTCATGTTCAGTCACATCATCAATTAGCTAATATGTTTATCAAGGCTCTTCCTTTGTCTCAATTTCAATCAATTATATCCACTCTAGGAATTCATAACATCTTCATTCCAACTTAAAGGGGAGTATTACACTATAATTAGGTATTGAGTGTTGGTTAAGTAGTTATCATTTTTATATATAAAACATATTATAATTTCTTCTTCATTATTCATTTAAATAAAAATAATAATTTCCTCTCTTTTACTCTCTCTCTCCCCCGATAAAAGATTACAATTAAAACTATTTCATATTGAAAGAATAAACTATTTGCTACAATTTTTTTTATCGATATATTATAACTAAATATTTTGAGATAATTATTATAAAAGTTATCAAATTTATTATATGTAATAGTTTATAGCTAAATAACAGTGAAAATTATTTTATATTATCAATGCATAACTTTTATCTCATATATATATATATATATATATATCTTAAAAAATTACATAAGTATTGTTTATGTCTCAAAAATAATAGAATTGTGTTATTTAATATAATAACTCATACAATAATTTATACAATATCATTTTTTTCTATCCTTTTTCTTCATATCATTTATTATATCTCATACTTTCACTATTTTCTTTCTTTATTGTATAATTTGTTGAACATTTTATTGTTCAAATAATATTTCTCCAATAATAATGAAAAAACCATAAATTATACATTTTAGTTTCTAAAATTTAAAATGTATAGAGGTTTATTCGACCAAATTTAATGTGACTTTTAGACATGGAAGACATTAAAAGGAAAAAAAAATGCACTCACGGACTCATGGTATGAAACATATTTGGATGTTTATAACATAGTTTCAGTATCTTTTAATTATTAACCACCATGTATCATAAATTTATTGATATTTATCATAACTATATATCTTAAAATTCAAATCATTGGTGATTTATTATGAATTGATGGTGCAAAATTATTTACATACGTGATCATTAAGTACGTTTAGATACCGATGTTGAGGAAGTTCAAAAATTTTCTTTCTTTATTTTGTGACTTAAAATTCAGGATTGTACATTAACATTTTCAGAAGTACGGTCTTCAACTTTTATCCAATTGTAGCCTTAGAATTTGGAATTTGAATGACTTTGATATTCCCAAACTGTTTATTTATTTATTTATTGTCTAGTTTTAAGTGGGGATAATAAGCAGTGTTGAGTTTGGTTGGACGAAATTGAAAGGAAATACATGTTAATGGTGGTTTCATTTTGAATAATATTTTTGGTGTCATGCATGATGCGTATCATATCAAGCATTTTGTATGTTTCTTTCAAGTCGTCCCTTTCGAGCATCAATCATGACGAATTACGTGGAGAAATAGGGAATGTCCAAAGCTCAAAGTTTATATTATAAATTAACCAAAAACAGGACCACTATGGTATGGATCTTATTGTGGACAACAATGGACTGCTTTAGTGCTTTGGCATTATTCAGATTTTAGAACTTCGGTGAATCAATTCGTCAATATATCATATATGCCACCAGTCTAATTCAAAAGCCTCACGGTTTTCATTTCGCTTGAATCATCAAAAAGTACCCATTGTATTAAAATATACACATGAAGGAAAATAGGTCAAGTTTTGAAAGTACTCGTGACGATGCTCTATCAGTAATTTATGATACAGCACTTATATGTATATTATGGAATATTAAATATATAAATGAAGAGACATGTACAAAGAATTTTATCTTGTCTATCAATAAAAAAAAATATTTTTATTATAACTTTTAAAATAATTATTCGAAACGTTAATAAACTAAGTATTAGACATTTGCGATTAAACAACAATAGAATAATGCATTTATATAGTCGTGCATTTTCATTCTATTCTATTTTTAAACAAAAATGAATTTAAAATGTTACATCAGCAAAGATATTTAAAAATTGGGGATAAATTAGAGTAAATATCAATATTAAAAACAAATTTTACTTTAGTTTTTCTAGGAAAAAAAAAAGAAGATATCATATAAACAAGATGTTGATTATTCACATGTCTCCAAGTCACATGTTAAAGAATACCATCTATATATATTATTAGAGGATTAGTCCACTGTCCACCATGATAGGACAAATAAAAAACAATGAAATGTAGGTTTTAACTTTTTAGAAACTAATTTTTGGAATCTTATAGAATTTGTAATGACTTCGCCATATATTACGCGATACAAGATGGCCTTCCCAACCGCAGAATCCTCAGTCAGTACGTGGAGAAAAACCAGCAATTTATTTATTTATTGAGAATTTCTATGGTACTTTTAATTATTGAGAGGTTTTGATTATGTGTTGCTGATGTGTATTTATGTGTTATTATTTAAAATTCATGTTAGTTTTAACTTTTTATTTATTTAAAATTCATGTTTTTTAATTTTTTTCCGTATTTTTGTGGCTTCTTTCTCGTGGTTCTTCCCTTTCTTCCTGGTTTTTCCTCTCCGCTTCCTGGTTTTTCTCTTCTTCTTCTTTTTTTTCTTCAGTTATCTCTCACATGTTGGATTCAATTCCGGGAGTTGAAGGTTTTTATTTTCCAGGTTTCCCTCTATCTCTTATGGGTTTGATGAGCCATTTTTGTATTTTTAATTTTTTTTTTATGTAGTATTCATGGATGATGCTTGATGTTGTTGTGAATGATTTTGCATATATAAAAATCACTTTTTAATTTGTAATTATTTAAATTTTATTTATTTCATCATATCCACATTTGTTTTTGAGGATTTTTGTGATTTTGAGAATGAGACATTAGGGTTAATAAACTTATGATTTTCTAGTCATTTTTCCATCTTTTTCATTGAGTGCATGGACAAATCAACTTATGATCTTCTAGTCATTTTTCCATCTGTTTCATTGAGTGCATGGACAAATCAAAGTCGTTGATTCTGTTACAAAACATAGCTCCGATTTATATATGCAAAATCATTCACAGCAACATCAAGCATCATCCATGAATACTACATAAAGAAAAGTTAAAAATAAAAAAATGGCTCATCAAACCCATAAGAGATAGAGGGAAACCTGGAAAATAAAAACCTTCAACTCCCGGAATTGAATCCAACGTGTGAGAGATAACTGAAGAAAAAAAAAAAAGAAGAAGAAAAGAAAAACCAGGATGTCGGAGGGGAAAAACTAGGAAGCAAGAAAGACACGAAAAAAAAAATACAGTTATACTTATAATTGACGTGGATTTTAAATAAATAAAAACTTAAAAGTGACATGAATTTTAAATAATGACACATAAATACACATAAGTTACACATCACCTACAGTATTAAAACCCTTCTTTTATAGAGGGTTCAGTAGTAATACCCTTATTTATTTATTTATCAGACAAAAATTAAAGACTAATTTTTTGAAATATAAGATTTATTTAAAAGATTCACTTATCTAAAAAAAATAATATTATTTGAGTAGTAAAAAATATTATTTAAGTTATATAGTGTGATATGGTTGACATACAACCTTTCAATTCGATTGTATGAAAAACTTTTTTAATAAAAGAAGAAAAAAAATTATTAAAATATTAACATCAAATATAAATAATTTAATTCTATTTTATAAAAAAAAATTATTTGTAGAAATGTAATTTTAAAGATCAACTATAATGAAAATATAAAAATAAAGTTCAAGTGTTTAATTGTAAAGTTTAAGTATCAAGTAAAAAAGAAACTATAGTCTATGATGTACATTTACGAATAAAATATAAGTTTAAAATTTATTAAAATAAATAATATATATTTATCTATATCTTTATTTTTGTATATATTGTTTTGTTCTTAAATTTTTAAATAATAAAAAATAATTTTAAAATTAATTAATATTATAAACTCAATACTTAAATCTAAAATCTTGAGATTTGAGAATTAGGTACAATAGCAATTGATCCAATAAATATTGATAATTTTTAAACGCTTTTAAATAAACTAGATAGATACTTGTGCGATGCACAAATTATTTTGATAATCCATATAATATAAAATTTTGATAAAATCATTCCAATAAATTAAAGTTGAACCAAATGATATATATATTTATAAAAATAACTATATTGGGGACTAAATAAGGACACATTTAAATAATTTTGATTAATTATCTCACCATCATATAAAAAAAAATAACATTTCTTATTCTTATGTTACATTAAAAAATAATATCTCAAAATTGGAATGATTGTTAAGATTGTTGTAGTTTGAAAATAGAATAATTCTTACTTTTATCTACATGGATAAAAGACAACAGAGACGGTTTTATGAAGTCGAAAATAGAGGAATATGGATATGCTGATCGGTATAAATAAAGAGTTAAAGCTAATGCTTTATTAAATGTTTTTTAATCCATGTTTATTAACCTAAAATCAGTGATTTGAGAAATGGAATGGAATGGAAAGAATATTAAATGAGAAGATGATAATCACAATCACCAATACTCTTTTTCTATCAACAGGTCAATCAATCCGCTTTTTAAAGTCAACATGTAGACTTGTACAGCTAAGGGAAAAAACAATCAAATGGAAGTTTATTTCGCTAGGCCCAAATAAAAACTTTCACTCTGGCCCAATTGAAAAGTATCTTCATAGGCCTAATACATGTAAGGCATTGAATGCATTGTTTCTGAAAATCAACATAGGTTGTGGACATTAATAAAGAGCAATCATATTTGAAATCCCCACGTGATCGATCTAATACAACCGCACGTGCCACGTTGGAGATATGAAGAGGGTAATCAAAGTTAGATACATAACAATCCTTATTGTAAATTGTAAATATAGAAAACATTTGGAAGTGAGCATTTGAGATTTTGGATTTTGAAAAGTTTTTTTTAAAGCTTCTACGACAAATAATTATCTCTCCACTATAGCGTTTAGTGTTTGTAATGCGTTATAGTGATATTTTGCATCATTACCTTCTAATTAAAATCCATTACTACCATAAATCTGAAAATATCGGCAACATAATTATTGCTAATTACATGCACAACCATTCCATGCATTCAAAACCTCAAAGCTTCATTACCAAATCCTATTTGCACTAAATTAAATCCTATATACATGGTATCTTATAAACTATAAAGAGTGCTTCTACACAACATTCTTCACATAAAATTCATCAACTCCTTGATGCTATATGCACATTACAGAACCTTGTCATGTTGAATTCTCTTATGCTTGGTTGATATTAGGAAGGGTGTTGTAAGTGGAACAAGGGAATGTGCTATGTTGATGGGAAGGCCATGATATCCTTTCAGGGCAACATGGTGCGGGGGCAGGGTGGGCAATGAAAGAAGGAACTTCATCTCCAGGCATTAAAACTGAAACCCAGCTAGCATACAAACTCATCTGTAGAAGTTACAAAACCTGGTGAGTTCACTTAATTTGATCAAACATCAACTTTATCGGTTTAAAAGTTTAGCATAGAAAAACTTTCTGGCTCTAAATACCCAACTAAAAAAATTACTAGTATCTTCTACAATAGATGAATCTAATTTTGATGTCCAACATAGTTGGAATGAAAGAATTATTTTACCCCAGGAGTGGACCAGAAATCAAACTAGAAAGGGATTGGCATATCATTGTCCACTGCAAACTTAGGAGGAACGCAACAAATGCTTTTGTATTTTCTTTAAGTTTCTAAAGCCATTACTTTAAACATCACATGACAAATTCATGGGAATAACATTAAATGTGTTGTTGATAACCACAAGACTTCTTTTAGGGGCAAGCAATTTAATCCCTGCAATCATATATCTGGTCATACACATTTGTCAATAAATATGATGAAGCCACAGCTGCATTAGTTTTCCTAGTTTAACTTCAACACAATAAGCATATTCATTAGGACTTTCGGTTAGTAAAAAGGAAAACAGTAAATTTCAGCTAAGAGAAACCAATTAATTGCTTATCACTTACGTGTAAAATGAAATAAAATAAACAGCAGAAACAACAGATTCATCGAACCCGACATTGGTATTTCCCTTTACTTCCAATCTGGACATGCTATGTAAGGCACCAACATCGTATTACTTATTTGACTTTTAACACACACACAATTAGGTACTATTAAACAAATAAGATTAAACGTGTCCACCTAGATATTAACAAATACATTATAGATCCAATAAATATATTAATAAAAGCACGATAGTTGCCTTTGGATTAAAAAAGTCTATGCTTGCATACTCAGAAATGTTGAGAGCTTTCCTAATTTATAGTTATCACTGAAATCTTTACGTCTTTAACACTTGAGTTGAGAATATAAGTTTGTGACCTTGAAATAAGTACCTCCTCCAGATATTGACAAAGGCAAATACTCTTCGTCACAGATGGATTTTGGATCACTGGGTATTACAATTAGCTATTCAAGAATCAAAGTCCATATTAATATTCCTACCTTTTTCGTCCGATTCATCACTATTTTTTTTTTCCCACAGGGCATGACCTGTTACTATTATGTTGAAGTGACTTTCATATCATATAACTTCATTAACAAGAAAAATCTTACTCATGTGGTCTTTGAGTGCTTGAGTGGCATCATTACCATAAACAATAAAAAGAATCCCTGACTTCTGTCTAATTGCAGAAGCATGTTCTTTAAATCCCATATTCTGTATTCCATTAACACCACAATAAAATTCCCAATGTAATCAAAATGCCAAACAAATAAAGTACACTATTAAATTTTATATTATTTGTGGACTTTTGCATTCCTAACCTTAGTGGCTAATACTAGAGAATCACATTAATAATTTTGTTAAAGTTGAGAGAAACAACACTACAGGCTATGTCTCAATCAAGTTGGTGCCCTCCAACAGAACAGCGAGGTTGCATAAGTAGGTGGGCCTGGAGTGTTTCTTCAAAGTAATGGCATAAGGTAGACAACACAAATGTTGAATGGTACTTGCCCATCATATGAAAGTACATTAAAAACTAGCAAGTCCAAATTCATAAAAAAGTTATAGGCCAATGGCCACAAACATTGGCCATGTATGGTATCATTAAAGATTGGAGGTGATGGTGCAGTTGAATGTCAAAGACACCAATGTGGGTCTCTACTCATACAGAAAGATGGATAAATAAGTCCAAAAACTCATGGCTAGGGACCAATTATTCAATAGAAAACTTCTCAAGAGGACCGTGTCCATGTAAAAAGCATAAGACAACACAATCCACTCATAATTAAGGTATTTGACTGAACGTGTAAATGCAAGGAAAATGAAATGAAAAAACTTGGTGGGTTATGATAGAGTTCCTAAGTTCAAATAGCCAAAAAACATACAGGGAGTAAAAAGGTTTGTCCGATACTAAAATCAGGTTTGACAAGATTTACCCCTTTTCTTGCTTATAGAGAATTTGGGGATAAATCACACAAAGAGGACATAAAAGGCTAAACACGCAGTAAACTACTAGTTTATCTATTTACTAATGTTAAGAAAAACAAAAACACGTGATAGTTTGGCCTGTCTGAGGATGAAAGATGAACACCCTTAAGTGCTAGGCCAATAGGAAAATTTCTAATGGAAGACGCCAGTGTTGGAAGATATGAGAGCCAATGGAGCAAGAAAATGCAGAGAATGTCTCAAAAAGAGATCGAGAAGGTATGCTTCTGATAATGATAACAGTGGTAGAGATGATGAGGGACAGAACAGAAACATCTTGAATTGGTCAAATGCACATGGCAGGGAAATTCATTTATAAAAAAAAAAAAAAAAAAAAAAAAAAAAAGAAGACATACAGTACAAACATAATAAAGCATAAGCAAATTTATGGGAGGGATACCATTCAGCAGCAAAAGAAGCAAGTAAAAAAGCAACCTAGAAACAAACAAATAATTAGGTTAAAAAACATTATGTCAGATAAGTAATCATCACTCACCCAAAAACCAAAATAACTACCCGAATTAAAAGCATCCTGAAGTGGAAGAAGAAAGAGAAAATCCTTTTTTTTTTTCTCAAAATGTCCACCATTAGCAACTGGGAAAAGAGAAGAACCAAGCCAAAAGCAAAAAAAAAAAAAAAAAAAAGAAGAAGGCTTTCACATTGTCATTGTGATGAAACTGTAATGAAGAGTGAATGCTCACACGCACACTGCACACCCCAAGAGAGAGATTGAGTGAAAGATGAGATTTTGAAGACTCACTTTGGGTGAGGGGTGGGAAAGCTTGGCGTTGAAGGGGAGCTGAGAGTGACGAGGGCGGGTCCAGACGGTGGAGGGCGGGGAGTGTGGTTTGAGGAACTTCTCGAAGATAGCCATGACTAAGAACATGGAGATGAGAATGGCAGTGGCAACAAAGCCAAAAGAAACAGCGTTGACAGAGTTGTCGAAGCTGCTCCAACGCTCATCATATTCGTTTCTCTGCACGTTCAGTGGGGCCCCTATTGGAGGCCATCCACTGTTATGCTCTCTTACCATTCTTTCTTTGCTTTGCTCAACTCCGTTTTACCATTCTTGGAGTTGAAGAAGAACTCTACACAAGAGAATGGGAGAGAGATGGAGGTGGTAACTAAAACCAAACCAGGGAAGAACAGAGTTGCAAGAAGTTAAGGTTTGGTCTTATAGTTCTCAATTGCTCTGTTAATTTGGGGTTGGAGAGAGAAGCAAGCATGTGGGGTGTGAAAAAAGTATAAACTTTGGAATTTGGATAGATAGGTCTTGTCTTTTGGTTCTGTCTGGGGAAAATCATAAAAAATTAAAAACCTATTTAACCCTTTCACATTCCTCTGCTCTTTACCTTTTACACTATTCTTTTTGCTTTAGAAAACAAATACTTTCCTCTCGCTATATATATACATTTTTTTTTAAGTATAGTAGTATTTTTTATTTTTTATTTTGGGTGCAATGAGGTACAAAAGTATGTTCTATACTTCTATGCACTTATCTTAAATTGGAGGAATAAGATTTGGTTATGTCTCCTCATTTTTATTAGTTAAAATTTAAATTTAAATTTAATTTTTGTGTGTGTGTTTTATATACATCTATGTAAAATAATATAATTAATCTGAATTTTGAGTGAGATTGAGCATTCTAATCCACATTTTATTTGTTAAATAGTGAATGAGGATAGGTTAATCTGTCGATCCACCATATTATTATTATTATTATTATTATTATTATTATTATATTTATAATGTTAAATTTAAATAAGTCACATGTAATTTATTATTTATTATATAAATAATTTGTAATTTGTTATATAATAAATATATTATGTATTTGATTTATTTTATTATATGTAATTTACGATTTTTTTATGTAACAAATAGTTATTATTATTATTATTACATATCTATTTTATTATTTAAACTTACTAATTTATGTAACTTCTTGGGATACTAAAAATGAAATATATTGAAAAAAGTATCTAAAATAAATATGTAATTAATTAATTATTTTTTCTTAGGCAAGATAGGTCAAGACATCTAGTATGATTTCACTTGGCAAAGGTAGTTCAGTCCATTTTTAATGAGCTAACGATGGGATAAGCTTAAATGAATCGGACTGACCTATTTTACTTCTCCTACTTTGATGTAAATTTGTACCAGACATGAAATAGGTTATTTGTAGTTCTATTGAAAATATTTAAAGAAATATGTAATTAACTTTAATTTTGTATGAAATTGACAGATTATGTCTGCTGTTATAAAAATCTTAAATTAAAACTTTATTATTGTATTTATAGGAAAAAAAATAAGAATAAAAATAAAAATTAAAAGATGATTTGATATTAACAAATTTGATTTTAAATAAAAAAATATAATATTGAGTGATATAATTTATATTTAATGTTTTTATTATAGAAATTCAGTATAATATTTTTATCTAAAACAAAAGGTAATCTAAAATTGTTCTAACTCGAAATAATTTTTAAAAAATGTAAATCTAAATATTTGAGCAGTTCATGTGACCTAAATGGGGGAAGACTAATAAGAAAAAGAAGGGAGAAAAGGAAAAAATAAGAAGCGAAGGGAAAGAAAGGTGAGGGAATCATAATCTTTATTTAATTTTGAAATATAAAAATGGGTTGAGTAGTGAAAGAAACTTGTAACAGTGGTGCCGCTGTGACGCGCTTCTTGACAGTGACGATGCCAATGTGATGTGATTCTCCAATTACTGCACTCCGCTATCACTTCCTTTCATTTGCTCCACCTACACAATCTTCTGTAAAGATGTTGATAATATCAACTGATATCAATTTTTCTGCTTTTTTTAGTTCATAATCTATTTTCATTTAGTTGATAATAATAAGTGATTTTGTGCGCTTATATAGTCGATTTTGTTGAATTGATGATGGGTTTAGTCATTAGTGTGTATTGACAAGTGTGTGCTACCAATCGATTCCAATAATTTCGTATTGATAGTCCATTTTTTAATCTGGTCATTGATTACGGGTTTTTCTTTAAAGGCCATGCCAAATCTTTCAACTTAGTTTGAAACAAAATAATCAGTTGGCTACAAATTACAAATAATTGTCTCCATATAATAATGAATTGTATTAATTGTTTTGTGCCACTAGACACTAGAGTGTAGTATAATCGATTGTATAACAATGACAACTGTTTTTTTTTTATTCTTTAATTGTTTATATTTTTTGACATGTTATTTAATAGCTGAGTTTAATAATTATGCGATAACAATAAAATAATATAACTTTACATTATCAACTAATAAAAGTAAAAATAATATTTTTATTTTTAATCTACTTATACTCATTTTATTTTATTCAGATGAAACAATCTCACAATATTATTTATTTTTTGAAAAAATCATTCAAACTAAACCACCTAAGAATCAATCATATTTCATATCTATTTTTTCATTAGTTTCTTTCTTATTTTATTTATTTATTTTTTTCTTTGGCAACAAATAAAATATTAACTTCAACTTTAAACATGAACCTAAGCTACTCACGTAACTCTTAAACATATATCTAAACATTCACTTTAATTACTCTTATTAGTTCCACTTCATAGACGAATTGAATCTATATTTAAGTCATAGCTTCCACATTTTTAGTGAATTTAACTAACAAAAGTTGAAGGAAACGCAGGTTTTCAATAAAAATTCAAATACTCATAGTATATTTGAATAACACCTAAAAATCATTTCTACCTTCAAAATTATGTTGATATCATAAATAAAAGTAAATATAACCATTTATATATTTTGCCTTTAATATAAAAATATTAATTATTTTTCACCATAAAATTAAAGTCAATGCTAACACACTATCCATTAGAAATATCACTTTTACAGTCCGTCGTTAACTCTTTAGTTGCATTATTTTGGAAAAATGAAAAAGGAAAACTGAAATCTTGTGGTTCATCTATTCATTCAGTTGGCTTTTTGTCATCGACATGAGATATTTTTAACTTTTGATCATGATTTTGGACCTTTCCCTCTTTATGCTGTAACATAATATTTCCCATTCTAATCGTTTTATATAATATATATGAATATGATTAAAAAATGCTTTTCCATGAAAAATGCTTCCATTCAGGGTTTCAATCGTGCCCTAAAAGATTATCTCTAGAGTTGGACAAACTTTAACATAACTTTGTGACTAATTTCTCAATCATATCCAACACATAATATCACTAATTATACCTTTCAATTAGTATCCCTAAAGGAGAAAAGAGGATAATGTAACATGTTGATTATCCATGAGTTCCCAGCCATGAAATCTCGCACTTACTCATAATTCAATGACCATAAAATCAAAGGTCATTATTCAATAGTTGTTTTTCAAAAACTAAAGAAGGATGTGGAAAAGTGTTATAGTGGAACTACGAACGTTAACGTCTAGTCCACGGATTTATGTCGGGTAAAGCTTTAACGATCTCGAGATGCTTGGAAGGTGACTGGCTTTGGTAGATATGTCCAACCATTTTCATACTCAACTCTTTCTGTGCTTCCTAATTTTAACAGTTTCAACAATAGAGTAATGAACACATTTATTATCGTCTTGATTAAAAACAAAACAAAACCTTTTGATTAAGAATTTTAGATTTTTTTTCTCTAGGATTATTTTTTCACCTATTGAGTTACATACCGATCTCATTCACGATATTATGACTGTCATTAATCCAGAAAAAAATTGTACAAAATGCAATTCCTAGTTAAACAAATTTTTTATTATTTAAATTTCTATCCTTTACATACCGATTTCACTCGTCATATTACGACTTACGGAGAGAAATAATTTCTATTTTTTGTTTTAAATTAAAAAATAAGTTTAAATATAACTTTTGGTCTTGTAAAGAATTATTTTAGAAACACTTATTAAAAAAATCCTTTAATTGATTATATTATAATTTATTGATGGCTGTTGCAATTAATAAGTGCCATATTAACAAATAATAATATCATAAAGTGTCACTTCAAAAAAAACTCGTCAATAATGTCACCTTAAAAACAAGAGAAAAATATTATTTATAAGAGTTAAAAAAAAATGACATATATACATGGATAAAAAATGTATGTCTTAAATTGAATGTTAATATGAAAATGTATTAAATAGTTTTATCTAAAATTTAATACGAAATAAATATTTAATGGTAAAAATAAGTTAGGCGCGGTTATAATATTTTTTTTTGTTCGTTATCCACCGTCTCCTCGCTATGAAGGAGACACCTCAAAAAATGGGATAGCTGGCCCCAAAATTTAACACGGTTGCATACACAAGACAAGATTCGAACTTTTAACCTTGCTTAAAGGTGAATCAACCCCTACCGTTCGATACAATATTTTATCGTCAAACATACATGTTTGAGGATTTGATTGTTAATAAGTCATCTGACATATTTTTCATCATTAAAGATATTTAAGTGAAAAATGTAATATATTTAATCAGAAAAAACTTCTGATGAAAATAATATTCAAATAATCAATTTAGTGAACCATGAAATTGACCCGGAAATCATAGGGAAAAATTTATGGTATTACCATCATGAAGTCTTCAAATAAGACTTTTAGGTTAGGTTGGATTGATATTAAATTTTGAAAATTTGAAAATTAAAAATTGTTTGTATTTCTTAAAACCTTTTTAATGTGGTTGCGAGATTTTCATTTTTCATTTTTATCAAATTGCAATTTTGAAAAAAAAAAGTACGATGCGAAAATATGGGGCTGAATTTATTTTACACTCAACTTCAAAAAAATTTAACATTCATTTGCAAAAAATAAGAAAAAAATTGTAAATTTTATTTTTATTTTTTAAAAAACAATTGTTTAATTATTCATTTAGTCTCTATACTTATGTATTTTTATCTTTTAATCTCTATGCTTCAAAAACATTCATTTTAGTCTTTATACAAGTATTTTTAGTTTTTTTTAATCTTTATTGATAAATAATAGAGGTACTGTCTTCGCAGCATTGACGTACGCTGTGTCTTGCGATTTAGGCTTTATATTTTTTTTAACCCCAAGCGTGTGGTTCAGCGGTAGGGGTTGATTCACCCTTAAGCAAGGTCAGGGGTTCGAATCTTGCCTTGTGTATGCAGCCGCGTTAAATCTTGGGGCCAGCTATCCCACCCTTTGAGGTGCCTCCAACGTAGCGAGGAGATTAATCACTGCTGTCGGAGGTGGATACTCCAGGAACGAACCTAAAAAAAAAGTCTTTATATTTTTACTATCTTTTTATTTTTTTTTAATATTTAC